AAAAATCATTAATTAATCCAAATAGATAATAATGATAACATCAATGTACTAGAAATTTATATAAGATTTTTTAAATAGTAATTATTATAATAATAATAACATCAGGAAAGTTTCAATTAATAATAATAATAATAATTTATTTGATGTAAGAGAAAATGTCAAATTTTGTTTTTGTTTTGTTTTTACCTGGGAAAATGTTTGTTTTTAGTAAAAAAAAAATTATTTTTAATATTATTATGGTGAGAAAAAATAATAATTAAATATTTTATCATAAATTATAACATAAATAAAATATTAAAATTTTTACATTTATATATAGTTAGTTTTTTTAAACATTAATTAAATTTTATTTTGTTTTCAGTTCCCATTTGTATATTTTTATAAGAAGATTTCGTCTGATTAAAAACAACTAATTGGAGGAGTTTAACAAATAAAAAGAAGAAAAAAATTTTTTTTTTAGAAATTCTTTTGTTAATCATCACATTATTGAATAACAACATGCAGATATTTCTAGAAAAATCTATATAATTTTTCTCAATTACTTATTCTTTCGAAACGACGATACGTATATATATATATATATAATTTTTTGACATCATGTTTTTAATAAGTTTGACATTTTCTATGTGTGTCAAATATCTAATAATAATAATAATAATTTTTCACGCATCAAAATTTTTTTAGTTGGCTCGAATTAAAAAAAAAAAAAAAAAAAGAAATAGTAATTAAAAAAAAAAAGGTAATATTTAAACCGTAAAAAGAAAAAACAATACCCCCTCATATTTGATAAATATTCAAATTATTATTATTATTATTATTAATTACGTTTATAAATAAATTTTTTATTTTTTTTAGTCAGAAAGGCATCGTAGTAATAATAATAATAATAAAAGAAAAGAAAAAGAAAACAAGACTTAATAAAAGTGTTTTTTTTTTTACTCAAGAATCTCTGGCATATTGACAACAACAGCAAAAAAAAAAAAAAAAAAAAGAAATTTTTC